CCAGACGAGCCAGTCGGCCCAGGGGCCCCAGGGGCGGCCCCACGGGACGCACCATCAGGGCCCTCTACAGCAGCAGGGTACCTCTGCCTTCACAAGGGTCCAGCCGCAGCAGCAGCAGCAGCAGCAGCAGCAGCAGCAGGGTCTATCCTTCCCTGCTACTGCAGCCCCACAAGCGACCGTGCACCACATGGGCCCACAGCAGCGGCAGCAGCTGCTGCAACAGCAGCAGCAGCTCGCGCATCAGCAGCAGCTGCTGCAGCAGCAGCAGATGATGTTGCAGCAAGCCCACCGTCAAATAGCAGCATTAACTGAGACAGGGGCCCCCTTCTTCTTCCCCGGGGCCCCCGGTACTAGTCAAGGATTAGGTCTTCCTTATATGGGGGCCCCTGGTGGTCCATTAGGTGACCAATGGTTAAATAGGTACCAGCAACTGTACCCTGACGTTGAGGGCCCCCAGGACCCTAATCGTGCTGCGCAGCAGCAAATAATGCAGCAGGGCCCCCATACATCATCTAGTGCCCAAAGGGGCCCCCACCACCACGAAGGCTCACAGCAACAGCAACAAAGGGGGCCCCAACAAATCCAGCAGCAGCAACAGCAGCAGCAGCAGCTACAGCTGCTGCTGCAGCAACTGCAGAGGGGGGGCCCCTTCTTCCCTCCCCAGCTAGACCCGTATTATTTGCTGCAGCTGTACCATATGCTGTCTGCGTACCATGGGGGCCCCCATGCGGGCCTCCAAGTAGTACCGGGTCCAGTACAGCTGCCGGCCCCAGATCGCCATAGGGGCCTCCAGGTTGTACCCGTTGGGGCCCCCTATGGGGCCCCTATGAGTCCGCATCACCCGGGTGTGCAAGTGGTACCTGAGCAGCATCTGCTGCAGCTGCATCTGCAGCATCTGCAATTTCTGCAGCAGCAGCAGATGCAGCAGCAGCAGCTGCAGCAGGCGCAGCAGAATATGCAGCACGCGAGCGTAAGACAACAACTGCAGGACCAGATACTGCAGCAGCAGCGCATGCGGCGACTGCAGCAGCAGCAGCAGGAGCAGCAGTTGCAAGTGCAGCAGCGGCTTGCGCGTGAGCAGCAGCTGCAGGAATGGGAGCGGCGGCGTCAGCAGCAGCAGCAGCAGCAGCAGCGTCAGCGCCAGCAACATGAGGAGGAGGAGCGTCGTCGTCTACAGCAGCAGCGGCAGCAGCAGCAGCGGCAGCAGCAGCAGCTGCTGCGGCGGCACCTTGACGAGGACGACGACGACACGGAGGGTGAGTTGTACGATGACGAGTACGAGGAGGAGGGGGCCCTCCAGAGGGTACCAGAGGGGGAGGGGCCCCCTCCTAATTATAATTTATTTAGTAGAAATAATAATAATAATAATAATAATGATGATGGTACAGGAGATAGGTGGATTATACCTGATGTAGGGGGGGGGCCCCCCCCAGGGGGGGCCCCTAGGCCCCCCTCTAGGGGGCCCCAGTAGTTCTTAGAGGGGGAGGAGAGGATGTTGCTGTTGCTGCTGCTGCAACAGCAGCAACAGCAATAACAACAACAACAAATTCAGCAGCGGCAGCAACTGCAGCGCAGCATATGCAGGTCTAGCAGGAGCAGCAGCAGCAGCTGCTGCAGCAACAGCAGCAGGTGCAGGTGCAGCAGCAGTAGCAGCAGCAGTAGCAGCAGCAGGTGCAGGCGCAGCGGGAGTAACAGCAGCCGCAGCAGGCGCAGCGGGAGCAGCAGCAGCAGCAGCAGGTGCAACAATAGCAGCAGCAGCAGCAGCAGCAGCAGCAGCTGTCTCTTAACATTTATGTTTATCTCCTGCAGAGGGACAATGGGGCCCTTATCTGCAGATGGCTGGCAGGTGCAGCAGCAGCAGCTTTTTAGCAGCAGCAGCTTTTGAGCAGCAGCAGCAGCAGCAGCAGCAGCAGCAGCAGCAGCAATTTGTGCTGTCTTAAGGTGACAATGCTTACCTCTATCTAGGAAATGTCTCATTTACATTGGTATTATTAGGAGACAGCAGCAGCAGCAGCAGCAGCGCCACAGCAGCAGCAGCAGCAGCAGCAGCATCAACAGGAGCAGCAGCAGCAGCACCAGCGACAACAGCAGCAGCAGCAGCACCAACGGCAACAACAGCAGCAGCAGCAGCAAGAGAATCTGGATCTGCAGCAGCTGCCCCCTTTTTTATATGCTGCTGCTGATGCTGCTGCTGCTGCTGCTGCTGCATGCTTATATATTATTGTTTTTGTCTCCTTTTTGTTTATGTGTATAAAAGGAGACACATACAGACAATTATTCTATTTATTTGTCATTTATTATTTACTGTCTCCTTTATTTATTTATTTATTTATTTATTTATTTATTTATTTATTTATTTATTTATATATATATTTTTTATTTATTTATTTGTTTATTTATGTCTTTGTTTGTTCCCTTTTTGTCTATTTTTGTCTCCTTTTTCTTTCTTATTAGTCTCTCCTCTTTCTTATATATATATATATATTATATATATATATAT